TATTGAAAGTTTTGGTTTAAAATCGAAACCATTCTTTCTAGAAACATTTTCTTATGAAATGGATCACTTGCCAGTGATTAAGAAATTAAATTGAAATATTTTGGAACATATTTTATTTAAATATAATTTTTCAATAATTTTGAATATAGCATAAACCTTCTCATTTTATCTAGAATATATCTGCAAGGATCTTCTTTATTAATTCACATGTTTATCAGTAAATTTAAATAAATTTTTTAATTTATGCTTTACATATCTGAGGCTCAGCATTTTTTGTCCAAAAATTATTATTTTAAATACATCGAATGTGATTTAAATTTAAGCAAAAAAGTAAACATATTGAAAACACTAATCAGCCATTAATTAATTTAATAAAAACACACATAAAATAACCAAAAAACCTTATCATGCTTTAGTATTAATATAATCCCCTTGAAAATTATTGCCAAAAAGTAAATACATTTTATATTAGCGCCTAAAAGCATATTATGAAATTTTAATCGTTTTTTGTTTTTTCTGTTAAATCTCTTTTAAGGTGACCGTATGGTGGGACAATATGCCGACACCTTTTTCTATCCTGCCAAAAAAGATGTTTCTACACAGGTAACTTATCCTGAAACCGGTACCGGCAGTGTGGTCACTTCCGTTGATATCAACTGTTTGCAAGATAATACCGACGGTAATGCTTATGTAGTGGCTGGTGGTATTGGTCAACGTTTCATTTCGATTGTTTTGGAGGCAACACAAACGGAACGTTTTACTTATAATGTTCATATTTATGGTAGAGATTAGAACAATTTTGTGAATAAATAAATTAGTTTATAAGTTTAACTTGATGTGTGTTTTCAATGTAAAAATAATAATGTTTAAACAGATATAGATAGATAGATAGATAGATAGATAGATAGATAGATAGATAGGTAGATAGATCGATAGATAGATAGATAGATAGATAGATAGATAGATAGATAGATAGATAGATAGATAGATAGATAGATAGATAGATAGATAGATATATAGATAGATAAATAGATAGATATAGATAGATAGATAGATAGATAGATAGATAGATAGATAGATAGATAGATAGATAGATAGACATATAGATAGATAAATAGATGGATAGATCAGTCCATAGGCTGGTCTGATCTATAATCCAATCTATAATTTAGTCTAGTCCATAATCTAGTCAATAATCTAGTCCATAATCTAGTTCATAGTCTATAGTATAGTCTAAAGTCTAGTCTATAGTCTAGTCTATAGTCTAGTCTATAGTCTAGTCTATAGTTTTGCCTATAGTCTAGTTTATAGTCTAGTCTATAGTCTAGTCTATAGTCTAGTCTATAGTCTAGTCTATAGTCTAGTCTATAGTCTAGTCTATAGTCTAGTCTATAGTCTAGTCTATAGTCTAGTCTATAGTCTAGTCTATAGTCTAGTCTATAGTCTAGTCTATAGTCTAGTCTATAGTCTAGTCTATAGTCTAGTCTATAGTCTAGTCTATAGTCTAGTCTATAGTCTAGTCTATAGTCTAGTCTATAGTCTAGTCTATAGTCTAGTCTATAGTCTAGTCTATAGTCTAGTCTATAGTCTAGTCTATAGTCTAGTCTATAGTCTAGTCTATAGTCTAGTCTATAGTCTAGTCTATAGTCTAGTCTATAGTCTAGTCTATAGTCTAGTCTATAGTCTAGTCTATAGTCTAGTCTATAGTCTAGTCTATAGTCTAGTCTATAGTCTAGTCTATAGTCTAGTCTATAGTGTAGTCTATAGTGTAGTCTATAGTCTAGTCTATAGTCTAGTCTATAGTCTAGTCTATAGTCTAGTCTATAGTCTAGTCTATAGTCTAGTCTATAGTGTAGTCTATAGTGTAGTCTATAGTCTAGTTTATAGTCTAGTCTATAGTCTACTCTATAGTCTAGTCTATAGTCTACTCTATAGTCTAGTGTATAGTTTAGTCTATAGTCTGATCTACAGACTAGTCTATAGTCTAGTCTAATCTTTAGTCTGGTCTATAGTTTGGTCCATAGTCTAGTCTATAATCTGGTATACAGTCTAGTCTATTGCCTAGTCGATAGTCTAAGCTAGCTTCTAGTCAATCTATGGTCTAGCGGAAAATTAGTTTGGTAGTTTAAAACTTAAGAAAATACTATATCCGTTATAAAAATTAAACTTTTCAAATAATACTATTTTCCATGCCTGGTCTGAACACCCTTAATTTTAATATAATTGTAGAGTCTAATTTTTCTGATCATAGTAAGGAAACAGAACATTAGCATTAATTAATAAACCTTTCAATTTAAATTAAAAATAATTTATTTGTTAATAATAAATCAACAAAGACAACAATTTAAAAGACCATTTGAAGCTGAAATTTACCTAAAAATATGAATAAATTTCTTAGTTGCAAAAAAAAATCGACAGCAATTAAGCACCTGAGTCATTAAATAAAAAGACATGTTCTCTATCATATTTAATATTTCTTTAGCTCACAAATAAATCAAGCAAATTTTGAAAGAAACATTTAAATTATGTTAAAGATTAATTTAAAAACCTTGACCATGGCCGTGTACTTAAAGAAAACTACACGACTCAGCAGCAGCAATTTAAATTTATATTAAGAAATATTCTTCTACAGTATTCTTAACGAAAAAAAAAAATATTTACAATATTTTGCAAAATGAGACATCAACGTAATAAAAATAAAAAAAAATTTCAACATTTCATTTAGTTTGTAGTTTATTTTTGTGATGCATTTAAATAATGTTGTAATTTAGTTTAGTGGGAATTTTCTGTTTAACAAATAGAATTTGTCTATAATTATTTAAACGCCATTAGGTTAAAATTGGCGAGTGCCGGCAGTTAGCCAAAAAATGTTTTCACCTAATGTAAATTGTGTAAAATACTGTAGAAATCCTTGTCGGTACAACCCTCTTGTTCAAAATTATTTTGTGTAAATATTTTTATAAATAAGTTTAAAATATTATTTATTATATATGACCATTTTATTCTATTTTTAATTAAAACGAGTCATTTTCTAATTTAAGAACTAAATATTTAAATAATTAGATCATTTATTTAATATTTGTATGAATTTTGATAAAAACAAAATTTAGGCAAATATTTATTACAAAATTAAATTATAGTTACAATTATAATCAAATAGATTTGGTAAATCTGAACATGAACTTTTAATATTAAATAAAATATTAATTTTAATTAGGCTTCAAATTATTTAAATATATTTTTGTTTGTTTTGCTTTACCCTGTATTTCTAAATATTTAACAATTCTAAATCTATTTAATATTATGAAAAATTATGCCAGTTGTTAATTGCTCGCATGACATTTAAAAATGTTTGGCAATAAACTCTACTGAGTTTACAGCAGTGGTCGGCCAAGATAGTTTTATGTTATTTAGCGATACCTAACATGAAATATTTAAAAACAAACAAATTTGAAATCTTAGTAAATTTTTAGTTTTCAATAAAGTTATAACCGTTTGTTTCAAAACAATGTGAGCTGCTTGTTCTCTCTCTATGCCGACCACCGATTTACACATTCCCCTTAAATAAACACACGTGTATAGTTAGATACAAATTTGGGAAAACATTAATTGCCCCTAAATTATTGCTAATTATTTACAAAACAAATATAATTTGTAGAAGAGCAAATCAGAAAATATGTATTTGTCATTTAGAAGTTTTCAAATCTAATAAAAATAGTTGAATTTTCGAAATATTAATTTACTAATTTACCCAAAATATTAAAATTTAAATTATTTGAGTTAACAATTCCTTGAGTTTAATGAAATCGGTTATAATGCGGATGTGTCATACCAAATGGACACAAAACTGAACTGAACAGAGCTAAAACTGACCTAGAACTGAACTATAACTGAATAAGAACCGAACTAGAACTGAACTAGAACTGAACTAGAACTGAACTAGAACTGAACTAGAACTGAACTAGAACTAGAACTGAACTAGAACTGAACTAGAACTGAACTAGAACTGAACTAGAACTGAACTAGAACTGAACTAGAACTGAACTAGAACTGAACTAGAACTGAACTAGAACTGAACTAGAACTGAACTAGAACTGAACTAGAACTGAACTAGAACTGAACTAGAACTGAACTAGAACTGAACTAGAACTGAACTAGAATTGAACTAGAACTGAACTAAAACCGTACTAGAACTGAACTAAAACTGAAAAGTCTTATATAAACTCCATTATCTAGCTTTTTCCGTAAAATATTTGCCCTACACCCACTTTAAAGGATACCAATTGGCTCATCATCACATATTAATCATTTTGCAAAAGAACAGGATGCAATTTTATCTCAAGGGGTCGTATATCTACAATACGTTTGAGCTGATGTTTGTAACATTTAAAAATATAGGTCCTACACCTTAAAGTATACCAATCGGCTCAGAATTACTTTCTGAGTCGATTAAATCTGTAAATCTTCTGAGCACGCTGCAGCTCGCAATATAATTTGACAAAATTTTGAAAATACTCTGCCTTTGATCCAAGGGCAACCATAATCTCGAATAGGCTTTACAGCTCATAATTATGATAAATGTGCTAGTATTTGCACACAAATTGGCACAACTTAGTTTCACATACATAAATCTAATTGATACTTCCAATTTTCGTAATGATGGGGCTTCATTTAACCCTAGCCCCCACTTACTAGTATCATATATAGTAATAGCGATTGTACAAGTAAGTGTATTGTTCAAATTGCACTAGTTTGACCATAACCCCTTATCAGATCATTTCCCGAAATCGACCTAAAAATTTGGGAATCCTTATTGGATAAAAACTTGTTTTACAAGTTTACTTTACTAATGTATTTTATGATCATCGCTGTACAACTAGTAGACGCTCCCTAAATCTAAGATCCTTTATAAACTCCATTCCTAAACCCCATTCCATTATTTCCAACAGTTGAAAGATATTATATGGTAATTTAATTTATATTAAACTATTTTCACTTACTCTTTACGCATCGAACTATGAACATCCAATACATAACAGTCGTCATCGAAACTCGAGACTTGTGTTAAGTCCTCATCGTCATCGTCATCATTACCATCTTCCATATTTTCCTCATTTTCATCGTCGCCCTCATTGCCAGCGTCATGAGGGAAATTATTATTGTTGCTGCTGTTATTATTATTGTTGTAATCATCTGGAGAATAACTGTATTCAGCTATTAATGAATCTATAAATTCTTCCTCATTCGCATCCTCTTTTAAATTCACCTCTTCACTATTGAAATTTTGGTGGCTGTCGTTGAAGGTTACTGATGCAGATGATGGTACTGCTGTTGGTGTTAATGGTTTGACTAAAGTTGTATTTAAATATTGAGCAGATTGGCTACGCTGACGTTGTTTACGTGCAGCTATGGTGGCCAAAGTGGGAGGCAATGGCTGTTGCTGCTGTTGTTGTGGTCGAGAGGAAGTTGTTGATGATGGCGCTGATGACGCGGGTGGCTGTTGCAATTGTGGATATTGAAATTTAATTGTATCCACTGAATAGCTGCGTTTATTGCTGGCTCCTCTACCTGTGTTGGTGTTAGTAGGTTGTGTTGCAGCAGTATAAGCATCAGCTAGACCAACACCTTTCCTTAATGAAATATCCGTGGTAAATGTACTAAATTCATCTGGACCATCGGATGTTACATAAATATCAGCGATTATATCATGGGCAATATTTTGTTGCGATGTAAATGAATTCCGTCGTGTACTACCAGCTTCCGAAGATAAATCCATGTTGCATGTGAATTACTGTTGGTGGCTATGCTTTTAAATATGAACTTTAGACTGGAATCCAACTACCACAGCAAGTGAATACTTGTTTCTGGTTTTTGTAGGTGTTTCAATGGTAAATGTTGGTTGTTTGTTGTTGGTATCGTTGATTTAATTATTTATAATTATTGATTATTTTTCTTGTTGTTGTTTGTATTTAATTAAAAAGTGTTTTTTTTTTGTTTAACACGTTTAATAAATCTTTTAATAGGCCTATATACATTTATCAGTAATAACTTTTTATTTTGTTTTTTTTTTTTTTTGTTTATGACGGGTTAATAATAAATTTATCTATTTACTGATGAGAAATGTATTGATTGGTTTGATAAAATTATGAAAATCTTATCAGGAAAGTATATTTATTATAAAATATTAACAAGCAGCCTAAAAGTATGCTAATGTTCAGTTAGAACATTAGCACCTAACGGTAAACTTTGCATTTTTATAATAAAATATTTATAGCAATAAATTGCATAGTTTAAGGGATTTTTCTTTAACAGAAAACTAAGGATTTTTAGTCTGCTGAATTGCTACTAAAATAAGTTCCAATATAATTAGTTTTTAGGCATCTGTCTACAGATATTCTTCAAAGATTTTTTAGGCAAATAATCCCTTAGAAGTTCAAAGAACTTTCAGCAAATTCCACTGAAAACATTTTCTGTTTTAAATGAAAGTTTAATCTCTTTGGAACAAATAATTATTGCTATTTGTCTTCTTTTTTAGTTTAACTTTTAATTGTAAATTTGCATTGAGTTTTTCTTTGTTAACATTTCAATACTTTTATGTATAAAATTAAAAGGTCATTATACTTTTATTTTAAGAAAGTTTTTTTTTTAATACTGTATTTTTATGAGGTGTTTATAACTAAATAAAATGTTTAATTAGATGAAACAATTGTCTACAATTGTCGAATGCTGGCTGTTATTATTTTTGTCTTTTGCTAATTTTACAATGTCAGGGCCATTGTTTAATAATTGCGTATTATATTTTTTTGTTTTTAGTCGAACACAATTGCTGATTTATCAAAAAATAACTTAAGAGATGAAAAGTTTTTTTCATTGGTTTTCTGTTGAAATTATTATAAACAGCTAAATTTTGTTGGCATGTGTTGAAAATCTGATAAATTTGTAAATATATATTTTTTAAATTTTGTTGAATTTAAGGTTAAAAAATAGAAGAGCAAATACACGTAATAAAAATTTGCATACATAATTTCAATTCAACATTTCCCTGCAAATCCCGTTAAATCTGACGTTTTTGAAATGTCAATTGGGGGAAAAATGCGTTTTAGCCATTAGCGAAATTTTTACCAGAGTTTTGAGACTTCTGGCTTTTTTCTCATGTCAAATAATTTGTAATAAAAAATCGAATGACTATAGCTTAGTTTAGTCCATAGTCTAGTCTATAGTCTAGTCTATAGTAGTCTATAGTCTAGTCTATAGTCTAGTCTATAGTCTAGTCTATAGTCTAGTCTATAGTCTAGTCTATAGTCTAGTCTATAGTCTAGTCTATAGTCTAGTCTATAGTCTAGTCTATAGTCTAGTCATCTATAGTCTAGTCTATAGTCTAGTCTATAGTCTAGTCTATAGTCTAGTCTATAGTCTAGTCTATAGTCTAGTCTATAGTCTAGTCTATAGTCTAGTCTATAGTCTAGTCTATAGTCTAGTCTATAGTCTAGTCTATAGTCTAGTCTATAGTCTAGTCTATAGTCTAGTCTATAGTCTAGTCTATAGTCTAGTCTATAGTCTAGTCTATAGTCTAGTCTATAGTCTAGTCTATAGTCTAGTCTATAGTCTAGTCTATAGTCTAGTCTATAGTCTAGTCTATAGTCTAGTCTATAGTCTAGTCTATAGTCTAGTCTAGTTAGTCTATAGTCTAGTCTATAGTATAGTCTAGTCTATAGTCTAGTCTATAGTCTAGTCTATAGTCTAGTCTATAGTCTAGTCTATAGTCTAGTCTATAGTCTAGTCTATAGTCTAGTCTACAGTCTAGTCTATAGTCTAGTCTATAGTCTAGTCTATAGTCTAGTCTATAGTCTAGTCTATAGTCTAGTCTATAGTCTAGTCTATAGTCTAGTCTATAGTCTAGTCTATAGTCTAGTCTATAGTCTAGTCTATAGTCTAGTCTATAGTCTAGTCTATAGTCTAGTCTATAGTCTAGTCTATAGTCTAGTCTATAGTCTAGTCTATAGTCTAGTCTATAGTCTAGTCTATAGTCTAGTCTATAGTCTAGTCTATAGTCTAGTCTATAGTCTAGTCTATAGTCTAGTCTATAGTCTAGTCTATAGTCTAGTCTATAGTCTAGTCTATAGTCTAGTCTATAGTCTAGTCTATAGTCTAGTCTATAGTCTAGTCTATAGTCTAGTCTATAGTCTAGTCTATAGTCTAGTCTATAGTCTAGTCTATAGTCTAGTCTATAGTCTAGTCTATAGTAGTCTATAGTCTGTATAGTCTTAGTCTATAGTCTAGTCTATAGTCTAGTCATAGTCTAGTCTATAGTCTGTCTATAGTTCTAGTCTATAGTCTAGTCTTAGTCTATAGTCTAGTCTTATAGTCTAGTCTATCGTCATGTCTATCCTAGTCTATGTCTAGTCTATAGTCTAGTTCTATAGTCTAGTCCTATAGTCTAGTTCTATAGTCTCGGTCTAATGTTCTAGGTCTATAGTCTTAGTTCTATAGTCTAGTCCTATAGTCTAGTCTATAGTCTAGTCTATAGTCTAGTCTATAGTCTAGTCTCCTTATAGTTCTAGTCTATTAGTCTAGTCTATAGTCTAGTCTATAGTCTAGTCATGTTAGTCTATAGTCCTAGGTCTATCGCCTAGTCTATAGTTCGTCATAGTCTAGTATAGTAGTCTTATAGTCTAGTCTATAGTTCTAGTCTATAGTGTCTCGGTCTATAGTCTAGTCTATAGTCTAGTCTCGTAGTCTAGTTCTATAGTCTAGTCAATTAGTCTAGTCTATAGTCTAGTCTATAGTCTAGTCTATAGTCTAGTCTATAGTCTAGTCTATAGTTTAGTCTATAGTCTAGTCTATAGTCTAGTCTATAGTCTAGTCTATAGTCTAGTCTATAGTCTAGTCTATAGTCTAGTCTATAGTCTAGTCTATAGTCTAGTCTATAGTCTAGTCTATAGTCTAGTCTATAGTCTAGTCTATAGTCTAGTCTATAGTCTAGTCTATAGTCTAGTCTATAGTCTAGTCTAGTCTATAGTCTAGTCTAGTCTATAGTCTAGTCTATAGTCTAGTCTAATCTATAGTCTAGTCTATAGTCTAGTCTATAGTCTAGTCTATAGTCTAGTCTATAGTCTAGTCTATAGTCTAGTCTATAGTCTAGTCTATAGTCTAGTCTATAGTCTAGTCTATAGTCTAGTCTATAGTCTAGTCTATAGTCTAGTCTATAGTCTAGTCTATAGTCTAGTCTATAGTCTAGTCTATAGTCTAGTCTATAGTCTAGTTTATAGTCTAGTCTATAGTCTAGTCTACAGTCTAGTTTATAGTCTAGTCTATGGTCTAGTCTATAGTCTAGTCTATAGTCTAGTCTATAGTCTAGTCTATAGACTAGACAATCTTGTATTTATAATAAATATAAGATTGTAAAAGATTGAATTAATACCAAAAGAAGCTTGATTTGATCACGATTCGTACTTGATTTTAGAACTCAAAACATTTCAGCAAAAAATTTAATTACAAAAAACCGATTTTCATATTCCGTTTAAGAATGAAAGGAATTTGATTGAATAAAAATCAAGATCACCATAATTTGTTTGTAATTCGCTTTTAAAATTTTAAAGGACGAATAATGCATGGGGATTAATTAACGAATGAAATAAATTAATAACATTGTCGTGTGAACATAGCATTAAAAAAAATCTATCAAATAAATCTCTACATTCTACACTTAAGTGCAAGAAATTTCTTCTCTTTTCAACATTTGATATTGAACATATTCCTCTTTAAGTACACACATTCCTTTGCAAATTAATCATTCATGTATTGCACTTACTTGGGGTGATGAATTGGAATGTAAGTACGAAAAAACATGTGTTTTTTATCATGAAATAATAAAAAATTCAATATGCAAATAACAGAAATGGTTTGATATACAACTAAATGAAAAGAAATTTACATTAATCATTTATTTTAAAGATAAAGTTAGTACAAAAAAGTGTAGAAGACATAAATCCATAATGTCAAAATGCAACACGTGTTGCCACAGAAGAACACAACAGCAAGAGAGAACAAACAGTTAAATCACTTAGAAAGTCAGTAAATATTTAAGAAATCTGCAAGTCATGTGTATTATATTTCAGGTTTAAAATTATTATTTATTAAATTCTAATTCTATTTTAAGGAAATCTGTTGAAATTCACACTTTTATTGAAATATGGTTGCTGCATTTAATAAATTTAAAATTCAATTGTGGAACGTAGACTTTATTTAACATAATATTATTAAGTTTTAACTCAAACCAATTTGCGTCATTTACTTGTTAGTTTACCACAAAAACTTATCAAACGTATTAAAATAATTGTGAGAATATTTTTTGATTTGGTTGTGACGAATTTTATATACACTTCAGCATAAAACATATGAAGTGACTATATTCAATAGTGGCTATCTCTAATTTGTATGAAAATTCTGATATAATTTTCAAAGAAAAAAAATATTTTTGGCAATTTTTTAAAAATTTTGGAATGTTTTCTATTTTAAAAAAAGAAAATTTTCTGAAAGCAAAACTTTCTATCTTTTAGAAAAGTTGCTTATTTTAGATAATTTTATATTGCAAAACAAGTTTTCTTACTAATTTGGATATGCTGAACACAAATCTATCAATATATTTAAAATCGACCTAAAGTTTTTCAAATTATCGTTCATTATAATACTAATTAGTTTAGTGTCATTAACATGTTTAACTATATAACGTTGATTTTGGACCAAAACATCATATTATGTTGGTTTTTTTAACAATTTGCATGACCCCTGTGATATCTGGGGTCTTCATCCTCAGACCACGGACGTCACTTAAGCGACTCGGTTACAAACGGAATGACCAACTTTTCTTATTAAGGTAAAATGTATTTATAGTCCACGTGCACTTGACATGGAAAGTTTTTGGTCTCATTTTTATACAAGTTTTTAGTTTTTGAATGAAATGAATGAACATTTTTATTTGTTGAATGAATATTACTGTTCATTGTGTTTTTATTCTTTTCATGGATTGTAACAAATGTACGACAATATTTTTTTATAAAGAAATTTAAATATAAATAAATTGCTGGGTGTAAACGACTATTTTTCTTCT